ACCAATGAGCATCGAATATTAAGTCGCCATATTGATGATTGATATTTAATATAGTATGGAAAGCACTCAGCAACTGTCAAGTCAGCTCTAGATTTGCCTGCAGCTCCTGCGCAAGCTCGTATCAAACTAACGATTGTAGATTAGATTGTGATTGGCGACTAGCAATTACTTCTCTGTCAATTAGAAAAAGCAGCCACTAATTGAGATTAGTGACTGCACTTAATTGCAGTCACTAAACAATATTCTATTTTATAATTATCAATTGCAACCCAATCGGCAATTTCAGTGTGACACAAGCTTTAAACATAGTACCTGGCGTCATCTAGCAATGAAAATCTTCTTCTCTCTACGAGTCGCCACTGTTTCAATTAAAAAATCGAAGTCATACAATTCAACTGTAAGTCAGGAGGCTTTTTTATTTTCAAGTAGTACGACACACTGCAGGTCGGACAAACTTTTGTTTCCTAGTAGTACAGTAGTAGTAAATAAGCTTTTGTTTTTACTTATTACTGAGGAAGCAAAATTTGTATAAATCTGATGATGAATTACTTTGCTGAAAAATAAAAATTGTCAAACAGCAAAGGAAGCAATTTTGATTAAGATACAGAATCTAATATCGACTCATCCGTCATATATCGCTATTTCTAATTCTAATTCACTTCAATTGCAGATACCGCCGCGCTCTTGATATTACGATGTATGTTGGTCGCATCGTTGTTGGACAATAAGAAATATGTATGAACAAGCGGCAAGCAACTGGGCTGTTGGTCTGTACTCTCTGTTCGATCCAACAAATTTTCTGCCCTTCGTGCCGCATTTATGGAACAAACAAGTGATAGTTTCGCGTTATCCGAGCCACACGAAGGTACGAGATACTGATGTACTCGTGGGATACCTTATAATATTCTGGGTGACGGTGTATCTATTGTATGAAAAATGCCTTAACGTAAGTTCAATAAATAAATGTTTGAATTACAACTTGTATATTTTGTACTTATCTGTTATACTTTTTTTAATGCAGTCGCTGTTCAGACGTATGCGTTTCCCGTTGGTACAACGAAACAGAATAATCAAGGCGGTATGGAACTGTGGATTCTGCTTCGGTAGTATATGTTACATGATGTCATCGGCTACTCAAATCTTGAGTGTTGCACCTCAAGAACAGGGAATGACATATCAGGAGTTAGGGATTGCTCTGCACAAGAGCTTCTACTTTCACCAGGCTGGAATCAATATACTATGTCATGGTGTTTGGATGAAGGGTTGCGCAAACTTACTCTTTGCATCATTCATCTTGAATCCATATCGACAGAAGTAATCAACTTATCATTCTGTCGTAGATATTATTTTCTTAATCACATATTTTCTCACATGTGGCTTAGCTTCTTCAATTTCATTCCTTTGATGTGCTGTTTATATCCTAAGAAACCTGCATTTATGTTGTTAATGTTACATCTATTACCTATATTTATTAATTGGTAAATATTTTGCAGTTATAGGTGGTGTACGATTACAAGTCTTTTTCTAATGTACAAAACCATTGACATTGTGATAGTTAATATTTGTCGAGTATTATTGTGCATTCTCCAATCTGCTGGAAGACCAATTTGTAAAATAATATTCCTATTGCACTGCCAGATTTGGTTAGTATACAATGTATCTGTATTTGATATTTATATCTGATGTGTATACTGATCAATTTATTCGTATAATTTACACTGTAATTGTATGTTCAGGATATATTTGTACTTGTATTATGTACCTACATATATGTTCTGGTCAGAAGGAAGTAAATATGCAAGAATAGAGCCTGGCTTGTGGCTTTGGTTTACAACAGAATGTTTAGATTCAGTAAGTATTTTACACTTTTTTGTTACTCGCACATATTATATAACTTGCTAATATAGTATCATATTATATATCTTCATTGAAATGTAAAATTTTTGTTATGTACATTTAGAAATATGACATGTTAATCATAATTTTCTATTCTATCAGATATGGTTGAAGGTCTTTAGACATGCAAAGGCTACACATTGGCTTGAAATCTGCTTGTTTCCACCGCCAACGCAAGAAGCGATTGAATTGGCAGGCATTCATAAAAGGCATAAAGAGTCTTTGAGGAAATTTAATAATAAAATATCGAAGAAAGCCGAATTGTGGCAAACATTAGTTTGTAAGTATGCTTACAAACTAATATCTTTGTTTTCTGATTCGAAATACATTGTAATCCGAATTACATTGTAATTTGAATATGTTTCAAAAGGTGCGATGGCGATCAAGAAGAAAATTAAGAAAATTCGTCAAGCGAAGAATAACAATACAAATTTACCAATGGAAGATTCCGAAGAAGAAACTGACCTGCTTCAAGCGCACGTAGAAAACGAGATATCAGAGGAAGATTAGTAGTTCGTATAAAAACAATTCTAAAAAGTGTTTAATTACGAAACTCAAATTAACGACGAGAGTCGTCCGCACTTTTGTCAAACGAAAGGGCGATAGTTGTATCATGATATTCCGAGTATTGAAAATTTTCTTTTATACTAAATTATTTTAGCGTACCGACAACACGCATTATTTGCAACGAGTATTATTCACTCGATTCGCATGTACTTATATCTGTATATAATTTTAAATTAGAGTAGGAGAATGAATGGTGCAAGCATAGAAGGTACATTGTGTCTTCTGACGCGATGCAAGAGTGACTAGGTCGAATAACGAAAGACTGTACCGTGTAGATTTTATACAAATTAAGTTTATTCGAGAATTTCGTAGAGACGTACACCGACGCTTACGTAGAAAATTGATTATCGCGTTTACACGTATATTGCTTAGTGGGACATCTCGTCAATTGTATTGCGTCAATCGTATGCCGCAGCTGGAAGGATCCCAAATTAGCTAGACGTCCCAGCGACATTAAAGTCAAATTAGCGATGCGTTTTGTCGAGACTGGTATTTGGAGACACTATTGTGTATTGTTAGTCATCTTGTTAACCTTTGACATAACCCAAAGCACTTAATGGTTACGCTAGTCATGACATAGACGTAATATGATATACGATCGTCGAAGTGGCATTATTATGCGAATCAAACACACGTTTCTCTGTGCGAAATGATTGTACGCGAATCCTCGAAACGGCGGGGTCGTGTTCCTCGAGCTATATATAGATGGAATACCATCTAAATCTACATTATTTATTACAGAATGCGTTTATCATGTAGTGCGTTTGCATCGACAAGATTTACGATGAATCGCACTTTGGCGTCGTCAACTAATTTGCGAGATATAGAATCGAGGTATATGAACTCGAGACACACGAGTACCATACTTGTTTATGTGGCAGTAGGTAGAGAATGTATAAAACGAGCGGATTACGTTACATCGTGCATTGTTGAGCAATGAAATCGTATTATCGCGGCAATTTTAGGGGTGATGCCGGAAACGTACTTAATTTATGTGCGTTAGTTTCTCGCTCAAAGTCGGAAGACGGATATCCTTCGCGTCGGTTCCGCTCTCCTTTCATCTCATAGGGAAAAAGAACTCAACTATTCAAGTCATACATCATTTCTAAACGCGCGCGGATACGTTGTCTTCCGTTCGTTGGTGATGAGGATATTGTCCTGTTACGTTCCAACTATCTAGTTAATGTACAACGTAAATGAAGACAACGATGATTCGTTAGATAAGTTTAATGGACCTTTATAGACACACTCACACACAAAATGTCTCGTTATATTACTTTATGTTGTGTGTATACGGGGGTTTTATTGGTATGCTCATGAACGTATATCGTCAGAGGGATGCGACTTACGTTTAACTACCACTGCGCTTATCAACGTGCAACTCGTAGTTATTAATCGCCTACGCATGCACACGCGAGTACGACGCACTGTTCGTTAAAACGAACAATTCCAGTTGAGAGACTTCGTGTGAAGATTCGTCTTGGCGCGACAACAGTGAGCCGGTTGAACGGTGTGTAACACCGTCGCCGTGTTAACTCTGTATTAACTTCGTTAAAATTGTGAAAAAGTGTCAAAGCAATAAAGAATGGCGCTTTTTTGTTGGTCTTGTTCACTTCTACTCAGCGAAGGACATTCGTATATCGTGGCTCCTCAACGAAAGATCAAAATGTATTGTTGTATGCACGTTTTTATAATCGAGAACAACTTCGATCACGACTTCAGTGCGAAGTTCTCGTTGTGTCTCGGGACGAGATATAATTTACAAATGATAATTGAATTATATACGTATACTTGTCGTTTATCGGCAAAATCATTATATTTCGATTTCAAAAAATGATACATCACGCACACATTTGCAGGGTTAATAAAACTCTTACAAATTACGTCCATTGTCGATAAATCATCTATCCATAATGAAATTTATTGAATCGCGCCGATACAATCTAAGAAGTCTTTCTTTTCATACTAAATTATATCGAAACGTACAAAGTATCAAACGACGATCGAAACTACACTTCATAGTGACCGATTACATGTCTCTTTTCACTAATTAAAATTATCGATCGTAGTACTCTTTACACGTTTTGTCTTTTTTTTATCTTTTTTTCTCCTTTTGGCAAGAACGGCGATGCACCGCCGCCGTTAATGAAACGAATCGGAATTCAAAGGTACCAGTAGGAAGACGACACAAATCATGGTAACGCGCCTTAAAAAATCTGTTTTCTCGTGTGTGTGTGTGTGTGTGTATGTGTGTGTGTGTGTGTATTATGCACTTTGTCAAAATTCGTCAATAATAAACGCCCGCCACACGCGTCGGGTCGAATCAAGTCATAAAGCCAGTCCTCTTTCGAAGAATTGGTGTACACTGGTGCAATAAGTTAGAGTGAAACAAGTATATTTCGTTTTACTCTAATTTATTGCGTCAATCTACAGTCAGATGATTAAGTGCAGCAACATTTTTCCTCGATAACTTTTGCAATGTATTCCGTATCCAATAAGATGTATCTCTTTAGAATCACTGGAAAACAAACTCTTCTATCGTATATACGATGCGTTACAAAATTCATAAAAAAAGTGTTGCAATCTTTGATCAGCCGATTGTAAATCGGTTCGAGAAGTTCTTCAAAAAAGAACAGACCTATTCAGTCGGTCGGTCGGTGCGCGGCGCTTGAACGAATACACAATTACGAAAGTTATACCCTTATTACAAACATATACACATTATGAGCAATAAAAGTTGAGTCCTCTAAACTTCCTCACCTTAGGCCCAACCTGTATCTCTGCGTCGTGTAATCGATGCAGATATTTAGAATATTTCACTTTTTATTTAAGTTTTTTTTTTCTTACGAGAGAACACGCACTTTCGTTCTTTGTGAAAATATGGCCCCATTGTTACAGGCTCGATGTAGTGTTGGGAAATCGTATTCCTCTTTATTTTGTTCCTGAGTCTGCAACAGGCTTCGTACAACTTCGCGCCACTTGCATCCTTCGTCGGCGTTTTCTTTCTTTCTATACTTTTCTTTCCCTGTAATTTTTCCTTTTCGCAATAGTATGTTCCGTTGTATTAGCGCGAACGCGTCTTCCGTACGAAAATAATCCTAACGGCGTGGTCTAATTTCCGTCTCGAACGCGGAGTAGTGGCGTTTCGACGCCGGGATATTAATTCGCTGTTTGGAAGAAAGGATTGGAGGAGGGATTTTACGTTCCTTAACATGCAGACGGGATAAGGTAACGTTGTTAATAAATATTATCGTCTAATTAATCTGCCCGAGGGAGAGCTACGAATGCAACTGGCACGAAATCGCACTGTTAAGATCTTTCTGAATTAATTCTATAGTATATACGTGTTTCGTCCTCCCATTACCTACTAAATATTCATTTCCTTTATTAAACTTCATTATATTTTCCCTAGTCGCGAAACAGGCCGCATCTGAAACCCGGTGATGATAAGCGAGCTCTTCTTATTGCTCGAACCTAATCGCATGATCGTCGGCGGGCCGCCGAGCCGGTAATATCTTACACACGCGCGATAAGTAACGCGAGATATTACTTAACCTAACCCTAAACAATTCCAATTTTCGAGACTATTAACTGAGATTAGCAATAGGTATAGAGAATGCCTCAGAATTGCAGGTGAAGGCTTGACTGGCTAACAAGACCAACCGGAAATGAACGTGCGAAAAACACGTTTCGTCGCGGAACGCGGGCAGTTTCCAATGTGGGTCGGGCAGTTTCCAGACTTAAATCTATCATGTTTGATTGTGGTTACCTTTCGAATAAAAGAGAAGCGTGGACGTGCGCCAGGAAAACTGCTTTTTGCTTCTACGTCCACTTGTTCGCGAGTTACGACCCTTTGAAAATTGTCGACACGCTCGATGCCAACCATAGACTAGATTTGTTTTCTATTGTTAAACTGGCTGCATCAGTTGGCTTTCTTTTCCTCTTTCTTTTCCATATCAAGTTTCAACACTATATATCTCTTTGCTAGAAAGTTCCGTAAATGTACACTAGTTCAAAGAGCAGACCTACTGACGCGTCGTGCGCTCTGCGCAGGCGCACACGATACTGGCCGCGCGCTGAATGCAACCACGTGGTCGAGCGTCCCTCTGAGTCAGCTGACGCGCGGCTCGGGAGTGGGGGCAAGGCCGCGTTCCATTCTTGCGTAGCGCGTACGCGATGGAACGCGGACCCACCACCTGTTCTCGTTTCCGCGAAACGTAATTCAGTGGGCGCCGACGCTACTGCAAGTCGATCGAGTCGATCGAGAGAGCGGTGGTCGATACGGTGACCGATATTTCACTTTCAGAGATCGTAGAGATTTGAAAGAGGACTTCTTAGAAAGTTGAGATTATTACGTTTACGATAGACGTGCAGCCGTTTTTCTTTGAAATAAGGATCAATTAGTAACATTAGATTATTCTGAGAATATATTAGATAATTCTGAGAGATTGTCTTCAAATTGGAAAATCAGTCTGTTTTGTAATATCGTAAAGTGTTGATTCTTTGAGTTTCTCTGATATTTTTGGGAATTGGTCTAATTTGTTTTATGTACATGTATAAATATGTATGTTTGTTGTTTCTGTCATTTCTATTAGCCAGTCAAGTATTCATCTGTAATTCTAACTCGAATATATATTAAAAAACATTTAATTATAGGATATAATACGCGCGAAAACGAAAACCATGTCTGCTCACGTGCGCGATTTGAATTCCTCACCTATTTAATTCGAGAAATAAGAAGATCCATCTTACGTTCATCGGATTATTGTATTATCTATATGTTATGAACTTCTTCTTACTCCTTTCACGTGCTACACGGAATCAAACGCGATCAACGTGCAAGTGGTTGAGACGTATTATTTTTTTTTCATCGTGATACTCCCTTCTTAATTTCCTTCTATACGTTTGCGCGGAAAGCTCATCTCCCGCTGTAGTTCGAGAATTCTTAGCAAGACGATAAAAGCCAACGCACGAATATAATTCTGAATCTCCGTGAAGCAGTCACGCTTCCTTCTCCTCCTTTCCTCTTCCTCTCTCACCTGAGACTCCTTTTACTCTTCGCACTTCTTAATCATAATTAATTAATATATCTATGCGAGCGTATATCTCGTTATAAACAACAATACGACAGTACTGACAGGATCGAAAAAGAATTCAACAACGTCCTCAAAGTCAATTCGCGAAGATCAGGAGTTTCGCGATCATGCAAAAATAAATCGTTATCAACCTCACCTTAATTTCAGGATGAATGACCTCCTCTTCCCGGAGGAAAGTTTTTAAAAATTCAAGTAGCAGAGAAATGACTTCGTTAAATTTCCGTCGAGTGCCGCGTCGAGGGACGGCTCGAGCTCTGTCGTCCTAAAGATCAGCCGAAGGAAGGAGAAGATTTAATCAAAGACGCCGGGGAAATATATCGCCAAAAGAAAATACAAACATCAGTTTCTCACAAAGGTTTCAAAGACCCCCTTATGCATTCTACAATCGATTCGCCGGCGGTCGCTCTCCCGGCGAGGACGAGATCGCGCTTGTTAGCGCTGACGTTCCGCTGCACTGCGCAACGGTATATTGTGTGGCGTATTGTCTCAACAATAAGAATTCTCTGTTCGCCAGCGGCCGTGCGAGCCGCACGTACGACTCGCACATTCGCGCAAAGGTCGAAGACTCAGCGAGGCTTCAGTCTTTCGGACGTTAGTACGTAATCGCTTGTGTCGGCGTGTAGGTCGCGTGTACGTATGTGTTCGTATGTGTCGTTAACGTGTCGTTTACGCGCGCGCGCGGCAATAACGTAATTAGTAATTGTCCCTCAGAGGCTTGTGACGATGTGTGGCTTGGCAGTGGTGGAGGCGATCTCGGAGAGCCGTACGTCGATGGGGATGCGATCGTCGTACAGGGTCGGCGCTTGCAGTATAATCCCGGCCGTGCCGACGACTACGGCTAGTGTGAAGATCCAGAGAAATAGTCTGTCGAGCACCATCGCGACGTACTTCCAGTCCTCTTTGACCTGCAGTCGAGTTGTCGGTGTGAAAATATGTGAGAGAAAATATACATGGGAACATTCAAGATTCACTACTGCTCGTAGCTCATTTTAAATCGGAAGCTCGTCTAAAGCGCCGATCAGAGAGAGAGGCTATCCATCTCATCATCTCGTATTTCGTCCAAATTACACACATGTAATAAAGATTTTGCCAAAGTACCCGAACGCGCGTCAAAGAAACGTCCTGATTCTTCTTAGGGTTTCTTCACGGACAGTTTTCATAATTATATTTACTCTAGTAGAATCCTCTTCCCTCTTCGTATGATCGGCGATGAAGCGGATGCCTTCGATGGCCTTGTACAGTTCTGGGCAGTGATGCCAATGATGAAGCGCGTTGCAGAGAGCGTCAACGCTCTCCTCTGTCGGGAGCTGCGGTGGCGGCGCGGTGGTCGTCGCCGCGGGCGAACCGTGGATCTGGCACGTGCTCCCTAGATTTACCGCTCCCAACTCCCTGAACAGACGATATGCAAAGTTGCAAGATGAGGTAACACGCGCCGGCGGCCGTTCTAAGGACCGAGGAGAACCGAAAGAGTAAACAGTGTTATGGAAAAAAAAAAAAGAAAAATTGTTTGTCTGAATATAAAAATCTCGTGTCAATTAAACTTCCAGCGTGATTTTCTCATTTAGGCGCCAACATGACTACGTATGCAATTTCGTTAAAAAAAATTTATGGATCGATTCACCCAAACATATAAAACACACATCGCGCGTCCAATCTACAAAATATATAAAATGTAATTTCAGCGAGAGAAATGTTTTTTTCACGAGAAAATATATATTGTAGAATTGTGATGAAAATGTGATATAACATTCATCGTAATCAAAGCTTCACAAACTTTGAAATAATTAAATATTACATACAGTATTCCGTACCTTAGGAAAGGTACATCTTAGGGGTTAGAGTAACTACATTTTAGAGGGACACACCGAGGTTGCAGCTCGTCCCGTGAATCGACACTAGGAAAAAGTACGGAGGACTCGACCAGCTCCGAGGCCGACGTCTCGACGAACAGTGATGGGTCTCGTAATTCGAGACCGTTGCATGTTCGGACCATCACGCGATGTCCATGATGCCCGCCCATGCTACGTCTGTCTATCTGGTACTGCGGCCTGAAATGGAAATGGTATTGTTGCGGAAACACAGCGCGTTGGTAGTCCTGAAACTGAGAATTCGGGAAACTTTTCCTTCTAATCAGGCCTGACTCCGGAATTATGAAAGAGCATCATGCTACGAACGGGATTCGAGATATACAGATACTGCGAAATTCCATGAGCTTTTACATACAATATCCTACGCGTCTTCTCGAACTCGCAATTGGAGTTCTTTCGATCACACGCCTCGTTTGTCTATTTTGTTTTTTTTTTTCTAGATATTCATAGTTCCGAAGCCTTCTCTCTCGCCGATGTTCCTCTGCAACTAACCATAAAGAGCTAACAGAACTTTGACACACTGAATAGACTGACATCGTTTCTCTATTCATCGAATCTAAACTTGACACAGTAAAGACATAATAAAGACATAGACAGATCAGATCAATGCGTTGTGAAGTTATGAAAATCGTGACTGTGAGGACATCACGACTACACATGCTCCTAATTTCTAGCCTGGCGAAGTTTTGCGAGTGAGTTTCGGAACGTGAGTATCGCCAGTGCCGAATGACGTGAAAAACGATTGTACAGAAGTTCTACGGCGTAATAAATAGCCACACAGCGCGTGATACATCATAAAATAAAATTCCTGAATGAACACATCGTCACGGAAAACTCTGTCGCGGTTCGCTGTCTCTCATCACCGAAGCTTTAACTATAAATCGTACTATCGATTTCATGCGGCGTTTAAAGTATAGTTTTTTGTCACCGAATATGCTCACGAAATCGTCTCTACATTCGTTCGTTCTAACTTGTTTTCTACCACGTTTGAATTGCCCCATGAACTCAGACGCAATTCGCAATGGAAATAAACGACACGTTTCGCCGCCGGTCAATCGATACGACGCGCCAGCACAGAGAATCAGGAAATTTTATTTGTATGACGACGAGAGCGAGGGAGGAAACATGGCTAATGATCGGCGGCATGTCGCTCACGGGGGTGCTAATGCTTGCAGGTATGACGCGACACTAACGTCACGTGCAGGGGGGAAACACTAATGAGTGCTTTAATGCACGCTGGCGTGATTCCAATGACCGGGCCAAATGCTGGAAGAGTGAGTATCTATATATCTTGCCTGGAATCGTAATCGGTTCTCTGCGATGGCGTATTATACCTGCGCATTACCAGCAGTCTCGGCAGGACGTGGATGAACACGCGTCGAACCCACGGTGCCATCACGTGGGTCTGCGGCGAGCGGAAGTGAACGTTGAGGACCACCACTGTTACGCATATACTGCAATGCAAGCCGAACAAACACCGAAGTGCAGGCAGGCGCTCCGTAGCAAAATTGCCGATCAATCGTCCTAACTTTTGAAATGCTCCGTAGACTTTATCAAGATCTCGAGAGCGCGAACGTAGCATCGCGAAGTTCAATACCGTAATTTTGTACACCAGAAGGTTTCATGCTCCCGTTAATCGAGTAAATTGAATAAGCCGAGTTGAATTATTATTTTTATCTTACTTTTACGTGAACGCAAGAATAGAGTTAGTTCGCTAATAACATTACGTTCGCTCACTGAGAGAAAAAATTGTTAGTCTCACGTATTAGTCACTTCCAGCGCCAATCGTATTTTCTTATTGTTTTAACAAAAGTGCAGTAGCAGCAATATGTATATGTGTTCCTTATAAACAGTAATATTGTTTATTACAAAAAATGGTTTTCCCGATAGTAATTATTTCACATTATAATTATAGTCGCAAGTATCACATACTTTTCTCTCAGTACTGTCACGTATTCACTTGAGAAACAATGAATTTCAGTCACGATTAAGTCGCGAGATATAGTTTTTTTTTTCTTTTAAGAATATAAGTCATATTACTAAAGTACACTATGTAAAAAAGAAAAGAGAATAAATTGACCCGCTTGCAGTTTGTGCAACAAGATTTGCGTAACCGTGAGACCCGGTCCTTTCTACCCAATTTATTCTTTCGGTGTAATGAAACTTAGAGCTAGACGGGAGTTTGAGAGGACCTCGCGATGCCGACGGAATATTAAATTCGAGCTGGCACAGCCACTTGGACGAGAATGACCAGAGCGACGAGATCACGAGTGGAGCAACAAATTCGCAAGAATGGTTTAGCGTTAAACTTCCGTCTCTCGTTGTGATCGTTGTGGCGAAGTGGCTGAGCCAGCTCGATGGACGCGTCGCTCCGGCTTACGCACTTACTACGATCGACTTCTGCCGACAATTGCCGTTATTTACCGTACCTGAAGGTGTCGAGGATCATGGTGAAGAGGACGAATTTACCGAGGAGCGGTACCACGAGTGACGTGGGCGGGATGATCTCGGCCAGCAAGAGGAAGAACACAGTCAGCGACAATAAAATCGAAATGGATAGGCTGACCTGCGGTAGAACGGCCGAAAAAAGGGTCTTCTTGATACAAGGATACAGTTACATTATTTATACAGGATACGCTTTCTCTCTCTATCTCTCTCTCTCACACACACACACACACACAACACACACACACACACACACACACACACACACAACGATATAGACCCAAGTCATACCCGGAGCAAAAAAAGGAAAACTGATTTAACGTGATAGCCCAGACCTTCGTCTGGAATTTACTCTCCGACCCTTGGATCTATATATTATTTCAAAAGCCTGTGTATATACACGCACAAACTGTGCAATTCCTTTCTACAGTTTCTACGTCCTACACTGCCTTATTCACAAGGAAGAAGAAAAAAAAGACACAAAAAGAGATTTCAAATTTGTAAAGTAAAATGTTAACAGTTTTGTCGAAAAAAAGGGAAAGAAAGGGAAACAGAAACATTAAACGTTACTCGAGAAGATTGCATTAAAGGCGGAGCAGGAAAGTGAACAGTTTTAATTCCATTTCCCCTCTGCTTTCTGCCCTTTCCCTTTTTGTTCCACGTCGCGCAACGTGTAAAGTATACGGAACGCGTTTCTAGCTGCGAATCCACCGCAACGACAGCGAAATACACGCGCGGTGCATATATACGGCTTATGCACCTTGGGAGTGCATCGAGGCCGATTGGAGAGGGTATTGTCTCTGTCCTTCCGCATTGATCCTGAGCGCCGAGCACGTCGCCGAGAACGTCGAAGGTACTCGTTCCCCTTCCCTCTCCTCCCTCCGATTCCGTATCCTCATTGCGTATTCGCCGATTGCTAAACGACCGGTACTCTGACATCTGACCTTTTCTCCCTTTTTCCTGCTCGCCTATTTCCTCACCGTGTCCGTATCTTTGCGCCTCTGCGGCGACAAAGCAGAACAATATGTCTGAATTATGTAAGCCGGTAACTGGATATTGGTGCTCGAGGTCAAGTGTCTTACGTGGCGCTTAAAGACGCAACATCGGCGAAAAGATCGATCGCGGATTAAACTGTAATGGCGCGCGAGCAGCTGTACCGTCCTATTCTGATCTAATCGAGTCAAGACTTTGCCTGCAAAATTAATTTCTGTCTATGTCGCCAAGCAGCAAAATCTCCGAAAGCGTTTAAAGACACGTTATCGATCGCGAATTAGACCGCAACGACGACGACGCGCGAGTACCATCGTTTCACACGAATCTCTCGTCGTGAAACACTCGCTAGCCTCCATGAATTTTTCGAAGCTTTCACTAAGGGAAATGTCTGGTGATACTAACTAGAATTCTATTTAGGTTTACCGAACGGTATGGTGAATAATCGTATAACAAGATATTTAGTCAATGATACCAAACTATCCGGTGAGCGCATTGCCTAAGTAGTATTACAGTGATACTTAAATATGTTTACCAAACCATTTGGTACAGCATATAATTCATTTGGTGAATGTTATATATATATATATATATATATATATATATATAATTTTCATATATTTATTGCATATAACCTTCATAGACTTTTAAATTTGTCGACATATTTTAAGAAATTCCATTCTTCCAAATATCTGACGGTTTCAGCGTTCATTCTTTTATAGCACCGACGTCTTTACAAATTAGTATAGATGAAAAAGGAAACGAGTAACGATTGACTATCGCGTCTATAGTACCACACGTCTAGAGAAAATTACCAAACTGTCTAGATGACTACAACTAAATGTCTCGGTATCAACTATCAGATGCGTTGAGGCATCGTAATCAGAATATTGGATATGAACCAGATGTCGCATATAAATTCACTATATTATTTTCATAAGACGAGTATAGAATCATTCACCAAGTCATTTCTCTCAGTGTTCGAAATAAGATATCGGAAGACACGGCGTGAACAGCAAAGTTGCTATTTCTAATTTTATAGACGGATTCTCTGCGCCTGTGATAATTCCAATCTTCTCTTCCAACTAATGATCTACGTTTATCGAAGGAAAAGAAATCGCAACAAAAGACAACGATCAACTGAGGCGTGGGTCGCAATATACGAAAGAAAAAATAAGAGGGAAAAATTCCGAAATCAATTGGACAATTGGGGCGAATGTGTTAATTACCTTCTCGCCACTGTCGCTTGGTAGGTAAAATACCAACACCGTGAGAAAGGATATCCCCATGCACGGTATTATGAGGTTGACGGTGTAGAACAGAGTTTTCCGTCTCATGGTGATGTTGAAGGTGATGTCGAGATAAGGCTCGTCACAACACGTGTAAAACTTTTCGTTTCTGCAATTCGCACATTCGCACGATTTACGATTAACCATTTGCATTGTATTGGCCGCGTTTCATGCAATTTCTCGCGAACTTCCAAAACAAATCGAAGCTGACAACTCTTCGACATTAACGCTGTTTGTCAATCAAGTTATCGTTAGTGCATCTTTACGCTTATTGAAGGAAGAAAAATCATCATAACGAAAAGCACGATATGCTACCTTCAATATGAAAAGTAACAACTGAAAAGAAACGCTGAAAGGAAAGGAAATTGCGCAGTAACGTGGTCTTGATTTTTCGGCAGAAAGATATCGAGTATCTTTTAGGATCTGTTTAAGAATCTATGAAATAATGATGGCGTACCTTACAGCAGGGACTTCTAGTATGTCCCACTCGACGGAAGTATAAAATTCCGACAGATCGACGCCGATGTCGACGACATTGCTGCCCCGGACCTCGTCGATGTGTCTAAGATCGACCTTAACAGTAAATTACTAGAATTTACAATGCATTGTTGATATTACGCTGCTGAATATCCGACCAACGCGAGATTCACACTCGCTCTAGCCTACCCGCGCGATCGAAACACTCGGATCTGCATAAAGCGAGGAAAATGCGCACGAATGTGAATAATAAGAAGAGTCGGGGCGATGCTGCAATATCGCGCGGAGACACACTCGACAAGTTTTCAAATAACATTTAATATGTAGGTCATAATATTCCCCAGGCCCCGCGCGCCTTATCAACGGTGTCTCTTGTTTGGTCGTCGTTCATATTTGAAACCGCGCGTTTTACGTCTCTAACAAGCGACATTTCGCCCAATAAAATAAAAAGGTAACAAGCAACACGATCTTTCAACGGACGGTGGCTAACGATCGACGCCGCTAATGCGCGTCGTAACGTACCTCGCGGAAGTGTATGACGATCGCTATTTTTTAGAATTATGGTTGCCTTTTTTAACAAGACCGCGCGGACATTTCGAACAAGAACAAACCTGTATTTGTACTTGCACATTACGCAAATGACAAATAGAAGAATGGACGGAAATTAATCTGCAATTTCATTTTTTATCTCAACGAAATATAATCTTCAAGTCCTTCGGAGGATTAATTGAGTCAACTATTGCGAAAAAGGACACGAGAGCGATACACAAGAAAATTTTTTTCTAGATAAAGAAGCTCCCTCGATTTTAAAGACAAGTATCGGTTTGCTATAATAACTGTAAATAAACTGAAATTAAAAATCAATAATTACGTGCTTTCAAATTCGAGAGCGACGCGACATGTTTTTAAGTAAAATATCATTTCTCTGATTTATTCGTAAACGAGGTGGTGACTGACATTCTTTTTTGTTAGTGTACTTGGCTAAAAAAGAAAAATTTCTCGAGATATATGAACGATAACAATGGGCGGTTCTCACCTGGAAGCCGTCGTAAGTCCACGAGCCGAACTTCATCACGCACGTCTGCTCGTCGAAAGGAAAATATTCGACGTCGATCTCGCAGGAAGACTTGTAAATCGCCGGCGGCTTCCACTCGACCCTACCCGTGTAGTTCAAAGTCGCCTTCGTCGCCAGCGTCACCTCGAAATTGCCGTCGGCGCTGTCGAATGCGTAAACCGTTGTCATTTACGAGATCCCGTTGCGCGGTACGCGCTTCAGTACTCACACATAGAAACACACACAGACAAAACGACAAACATAATCGCCGTCAGTTGTTGCCTTACTTGTTGTATAAAACTATATCGGGCCTCCATATGTGATCCGATGGCACATGCAGCATCTCTACCCCACCGTACTCTTTTGGATCCCATTTCAACTTGTAATCATACCACGACTGCAAACAGAGGATTGGTGCGACATGTGTCGCATTATTTCTTCTTACACACGGAGAAAATATTGCACGCTGAGAAAAAGAAATGATTTATCTGACCAAAATTATAATTACTTTTGGCCGTAATCATATTTTTTATTATAAAATAGTGATAATAACATGCGCATAAGGTTATTATCACATTGACATCAATTTATAGTAGAATTTAATATATTAAAAGAATAGTTTTTTTCACTACATAATTTATAGTAATTATTTCTCCATGCTATTATAATTACAAATACCAAACATTTTTTCTCAGTGTAGCAAAACTTACAAAAATTACAACAAAATTCTTTTAATCTTGGACTATATGGAGTTATGACTAAAATTATTATATATTTGTTTAAAAATGTTATTATGCACGTTTGACTTTTACCACAAAATTATTGTAATTATTGTAATCGTACATTAGATAAATCGTCAAATATACTATGTTTTTGATAATTTTTTATATTACAATTTCGATATAGTCCAACTTTTTGCAAGAAACATTGTAATAAGAAATATAATTTTGATGCAATTTTTACTACAGCATTTTCTTTCCGTGTGTTTTATTATTTCTTCATCGTTCTTTCTTATATTTATTACATTATTATTTTCTTTCTTTCGATAATTAGCGATTATTGCTAGCACAAGAGCTGATGTTAAATTGGTCGCGGTAACTTTGCACCTTCTGCACATGGAGGAGAAAGCTTTTTATCTTTTTTGTTGCAACTTTGTTAACCCTGCCGTAGAAACGCAATCACATCTGACGTTATTTTCACGTTTGTAAGAAGGATATCGAGCATCTATCGAAAGTCGAGAGGCAAGAAAGGATCCACGCACAGCGAGAAATTGATATATTACGCGTTTCGTGACTTATCGCCTGACTTAAATGCAGTAGACGCTGCCTTTGAAACTCGCCATGAATAAATTTAGCTGATCATAGTTTAGTTCGCGTATTTAAATGGGGAAGCGACAAAGGCTCGCGGTATCGGAGAATCGCGTTGAAGCTACTTCGCGGGCAGCAAACCGTGCACAGAAGCATATTTTGCAACTTTCCTCATTGAGAGTTAAGGCTGAAACGCACAGATTTGCATAGGTACATGGCCGCGTGCATACGCTGTAGCGAACTTCTACCCTTCCTCTCTCTGCTTGGCTTGGCCCGGCCCGCCTGATTAAAATCGTGTGTCCTGTGCCCTTTATTGAAAAATTTCTACGCCATTGTTCCATTCAAAACTTCGCGAGCGGCCTCAAAGCTCTCACGGAATTTTTCAATAAGACTCGAAATGCATGTTCGGAGGCGTGTCGCTGCATATCGGCGAGATCTAAGGAACAGAAGTTATGTAAGTATAGCTGTGATATTCGGCCCACATGCTTTTTCATCAAGACTAGACGCTTCAAGATGGTGAGAACTCTCGGTCGTCATCTCGAAACCGATCTCACCCAAATGTAAATATCAAAGGAGGGTCATCGTTCGACCGATGAAGCTCTAATTTAAAATTCCATTTAAAGTGTACGGAGAAAATGTTGTGGTAAAAATTATGTTAAAATGATATTTCTCTTTGCATTTTTTTCCGCGAAGCTGGACTGAAATTGAAATTACAGTATAAATTACTGAAAAGATTATTAATTTGATTTGCCTGGTGTACGATCAAGAAAAACATTCAAGTAATCACGGTAATTTTGTAGTAAAAAATTAAACGCGCATAATATCTTTAAACAAATATATAGTAATTTCGATCATAATTCTGCATGGTCCAAGATTATATTAATTTGAATTAATTTTGTAATTTTTACTGCAATATTTTCTCCGTGTGAAGTTCGCTCAAAATCACCTGAAGAATATCAGTGCTTGGTTTCAACAACTGATTACACGAGAACCACAAGATATCTTCCCAAGATTACCCCGCGATATTTTCGACGAGGGAGAATTGACTTGAAATTGGCTGAAAAATCTGTAATCGGAGAATCTCGTCGGTTCATTCCGATCACTTTGCGGAATTTCAATGCGAATCCATTGTGCTCGCGCGCGCGCGAAGGGACACTACTCTCTTATTACTGGCACTTTTCCATTTATGTCGGGACGTTCGCGGATGGTGGACCGATACTGCGGCCGCGTAACCGGAAATGCACTTCCTTCGGGCGTGGACACAACATTATGCGTATACCATGTTGAATATTAGCCCGGAGCCGATCTCCACTTACGCGCCAGTGTATTTGCCAGATAGAATATTACTTATGCCGCATAGTGCGCATAGTCGAATGTGACGTGCGCGAAATTCGGTCGTGTTTGACCAAGCCAAAGGTAACGCTTAGTTAAATAGCGAGTGCTGTATGCTCCGACGTCACGTATTAAATATTCATTGCAAAATGGCACACGCGCGCACCCTCACAAATAACAGAATATCGCTAATGCCTGAAATTTCAATTCCGGCCACAAAGTCGGGGATTAAATCTAAAACTGCATGACAAACCGGGCATTTTGATCGATGTTTTGTATTGGTCCCGGGAACTCTTGAGAGTGAATTCTTTTTCCGTAATCGCGACTTGAACTTTGCCACAATGTGGCGCCGAATGGCGTGTCGCGTTTCGTTAAATTTGGCACAGGAAGCGCAACCCTGTACGGCCAAAAAAATGTCCTCTTTCGAAAATTTCTGGTCTTTTTCGAGTCAGTTCCATTTCTGCACAATAATATTTACGTTATCATCTTGCTCCAGTACAATTATTTGTTCTCCCTTATGATTAGTGATCGTGGAGTGTTCAAGAGAGTAATAATAAAGTTATAATACGGTATAAGACACTCGTCCATTCATTCGCCGCGCGTGATCAATGGAAGCACACAAGTAATTTGCGTTACCAAAACTAAAAAAGCATTTGTAATTGTGAAAGAGTTGATTTTTCGACCTTGCTAAACATTTTTTACTCAGTACAATCAGTATTACACTGAGAGAAAAATATAGTTGTCTTTGGCGTCGACTATACGCTTGTGATTTTAACCAAAAATAATTAGAAGAACCATTGTTTTAGTAAGTGTTATTAAAAAAATGGTTCTTCTAATTATTTTTCTGATTAAAATCACAAAAAAAGTATAGTTGACGCCGAAAGCAACTATATTTTTCTCTCAGTGCATCATGTAAATTTTGAACCCATTTTTTGATAATTTATACAAGAGGTTTTCGCTAAGGATGAGTTTATATATTTTTAAACGTACATTCATCTCACGCTATTTTATTCGTAGAGCGAATTGGAGACCGATGTCGGTGAAAATGACGTTATCACGACGGCTTGCGAAGAAGACGCGGAACCGAGTCGTGATTGTTGCAATATTCAAGACTCCGTCGCGTATGTCGCCGTGGAGGATTAACTGTTCGACCAGTCCGTAAAATCCACAGGCGAGTTGCTCGCGATGCGGGCATTTTCGGACGGGTTGCGCCGGCACGAACCGTTAATCCCGTCGATAAATCGCGGCGGGATTAACATTTTCGTGCCCGAACTTTGCGATAACATTGATGCGTGACGAACCGCAGCGGGTGCGCCGAACTTTCCGCTCGTCGGCGTGCAACGGCGATCGCGGATCTCCGGGATGTATGCGCGATGGTTGTCGTTGTGCTTCAGTTTATCGAGTAACACCAATATTTGGTGCTACTCCGCGGTGCGCCGATGGGACTTCGTTGGGTGACACATATAACGAACTTGACAGAAGGCGGTAGACATGGCGAGCCGGGAGAGCTCCCTAACGATTTATGAGAGTTAACTTGTGTGCGGGAACGCGCGCGGGGTCGTTCGGTTACATTGGCACTAGCGCGACATAAATCGCTAACCCGCCGGCTGTATCCGAAGAGAGAAACTTGACAGGAAAGTGTCCAAAACGCGAACGTGAGAAGTATTACGCGAGAATGATAAACGAAATAAGCTTGAACGTGTATGAGATCAGGAGCACCATTTCTCATGGCTCTCCTGAATGTTGCGCAGCTAACGAGTTAAATAATCATTATAACAGACAGCCGCGTGTCAGTGACGCCGACTTGTCTGCCGTAATTTCATCAGGGAGGGTCTACGGGAGATTTATTAAGGGACGACGCGTAATCGTGTTAGTCGCGTATCCGCGTATCTGCTCTCTAACGACCCGATTCTACTCCATCGCGAATCGCGTATTTATTGCACGAATCGTGGCCGCCCGTATATCGTAGGACGGAAAAACGGCCGTGCACATGGCGAATCTATCTTACGTAATCCGCAGCATTTGAAAGTGGGTTGCACGGTTCACCGGAGTTATTTTCTGGCTTTCGGGCCGGGAGCTTCCGTCCGATCTTCGCGCGTTTCCGCGTCCATCCGCGCACGCGAAAATCTACGCGCACGGACATGCGAACTGACGCCCGTCATCGCCACAGAGAGGCCCCGCGCGGATATTTTGTTTCCCGCAATCGGCGATCAAACGGCGAAAGAGCGCGTACCGCCTCTTTTCCATGGGATTTTGTAAAACTCTGAACATTCCAATAAATGATACATCGATTTGTGAAGCTTGGGAGATTAAGAATATAAAATCTCAATGTGTGTTATTCGTTTTTTAGGAGATAAATGGTCCAAAAGATTGCAATCTCAACAAACAGCCATGCTATTGAGATTACAACATTTTGTAAACCGTTTGTCTCCCAAACGACTGCGAGAATAATATCGAGACTTTACATTCTTAATCCACTTGATATAAACTTCAAATCGATGCATCATTAATTAGAATATTCGAAGTTTTTGAAAAAAGAACGAAATGTCTGCGTTTGTAACCACACTCTTTTATGATTTATTCCGAACATTTATCGTTATACGCTCTCGCTCGCTTTGAAACTTTTATGAGGAAAATCGAAGAGATACGCGATAAATATGTGACCGTTACATTCGGTTACTGTGCACATAGAAAAATGTCATTTCATTGCTAAGAAAAACGATTGTTCACTTTCCTTCTTTGAAATAATAGTTATCTTCGACAAAGTATGTTTTCTCGAAAATAGTCTTAAAAAATATTCTTGAAATAATTAATCTTAAAAATACTTTCATTTACTTGATACTTAAATATACTCGTCACTAATTTTAGAAAAGCTCATTATCTCGTACTCGAGAAAAGAATTTATCCTTTTCATCGGGAGTGCTTCCTCTCATAGGAGGAAACGTTGGTTCGACTTTGTGTAGCAAGCAATTTTTTTTTCATTTAATATTCTTCGATTGAAACACTAAAATTACTAGGATTCGGAACATATCTTCAACCAATTTAATGCTTGTTGCGAACTTATGATAGATTTGCGGTAAAATAAACCTCAGAAATAGTTGCGACAAGTAACATTCGCCCGGATACAGCATGTATTTCTCTGTGTGCGGGTCTGTGCGATATGATTCAACGTTAATACTGATCTCATCATACATTTCGTAATATTTCCCTGTCTCGCGTGATTCTTATGGAATATATATGTTAAAATATTAATTAAATTTATATATACCTGCTCTACCCAGAGGTTCGTCGTCATGATCTGATTCTTCAAATTCTGCAAGAAAACAATTTTTGTGAGAATACATCTTTCTTCTGCCCTATAAAATATACCGTAGCGTGCGATTATTGTAAGCCGATATATGCTGACGCTTCTCGAGCTGATCGAAAGTAAATTACGCGCACCTGTCAACGGTATCGACTGTAACTAGCGTGCGAAAGTTCGTGAGATCTCGTAGCGAGTCTATCCGGAAGAGTGACGCCCGGCACACACGTGGAGGCAAACGCGGTTATCTCTTCGACGAGCACGTGCAATTTCTTTCGTGTGGTCGTCGCTTAATGCAAACAAAATCTCCTTTTTACTCCGGCGTTATCATACCGCCAATATTCTTTCCTCTTACTACTTATACGAAAAGGACTTTTTAATCAGGGTATGATAAAACTGTCACGCACTCACTCGCTTATTGTTAGACGTTACTTGCAAAGCCGAGATGATTTCAAAGTTTCTGCACTCACATCAGACAGACTCGAATTGAAGAGTCTCACGAACCGCGTTCCAATCGTGATATTCGTTATCAAGAAAGCAGTATTTAAAACATACAACAAAAATATACGATATGTCTTTGAACGATGACATTGATAATAACTCTACGAATATTAGTGACCTCAGATCTGTGACTTCTGTTTGCTTCTCCTCGTTTCGTCACGCGAATAACGACGCCGCGACGTCGTTATTGCTTACCACGTCGATGAGCTGCGAAAGCTTGAGCTTTATTTTAACGGTGAGGGCGTCTGTGACGTTGACCACTGGACGAACCAGCTTGTTGTAGTTCGACAAGAGATCGTCGTATAATCGCTTCGCGTCTGGATTTCCTGAGCATCCTACGAACACAGGAAAAGAGCGTTCTAAGTGCGACTATTGCCTGAAAGATGAGAGCTCATCGCGCTAAAGTGAATATTTACTTGCTGTGTGTCGACCGCTATCGCGAAATTAAAGCAAACTTGCGATATGTTAAATAAATACGGTCACTGCACCGCTGTATACGTTGCATTCGTTGCAACAATATAAAAATAAACATATTATGATTTATTTAAAAGGACGTTTTTTGCACGTTTGCAATGCATCATGCAAGCGACGCAGCAGCTACAGTATATATATTTGCGCCCAATCTCAATTGAATTCGTACATTCCGCGCGATTGAATTCGTACTTTCCATCCTTTCCAAAAATTTTCATTCTCTACTTACTTTCAGATTTTTGTGTTGTGAATATAATATTGCAAGTTTTTCGCTGGCTCAGCAAAGTTTGCGTTTAATATCGCGACGGTCGGTTTGTTGCCGATAAACCGAGCGAAAACAAGGCGTGCTTGCGCGCGCGGAGTGAGGAAAAGCGGGAAATATTTCACCGGAGGGCAGATATCAAAGAAAGGGAGACAGCCGCGGATGGTTTATCCGCGTAACAGGACAGCTCGGTAATTCTGGGTCGTAGTTTTCCCATTATCCATGCCCGTGTGAGCGTGCCGCTGGATTTCGCGCTTTGCGCATATTTAACCCTTTGCTGTACGGCAGTACATAAAGTGTTGCCGCCATTATACAGAGAGCGCACCAAGGGAGAGATACGGCACTGGATATACCACGTACGTTATACTTCACTACCACCGTCGCCCAAACGGCTTCTCCTCTCAGTTGCAATTTCAAGATAAAATGCCATATACCCCGCGCGTAAAACCTACTGGCTACAAATTGCAATTGCTAATTCTGGAAGTGCGCGGGCTGCGCGCTCAAGTGCGGTTCGCAAAGCGTTCCTTTATTTTCCGCCAGAGCATCGAAACGGCCCGGAGGTGTCGAGAGCACACGTTCTAACGGAGCAGACACATATACACACATACACACACATACAAATTTCTTTCAACGTTTAATTATTTTCCACCGAAACGTATTTCCCGAAACTTCGCCGAATAGACACCCTCACTCGCTCCGCTCGAAAAAATAAACGGTAAGAGACTACGAAAGAAAAGAAGGAAGGAAGGGAGGGGGAGAGAGAGGGAGAGTGAGAAATTCAAGTTAACTGAATATTTCGAAATCCATTCGAGATCACGGTTTTCATTCGCTTCATATTCTATGATTGTACCCGCGACGACTGCGCTTCCGAGATTAAACGAACCGAAAAGGCGCGAATAATTTTTGTCAGCTCACCAAAGTAAGTCGATTCCACTCCTGTCGCCGCTGCGTGGCGCCTTAAATTGCGCGTTTATTAAAATATACGAGTCGTGATTTATTCATCCATGTCGGCCAAGAAGGAATTCCATTTCTCAACGTCGAATGGTCGGCGATTAGAGAGATGGTGGGGTCTTTTTCTCTCATGCGACATCGAAGGTCCTTCCTCGGGCTCTCCGCCGTCGTCGTCGCGATAGAGTCGCCGATGAATTCGACCCGCCGTTATATTATTTATTACGGTCGCACGTCATTTTATCGCCGTTTTACGAGCAACCCGCGGGGCGAGCAACGTGCGCTTTTTGCAACGCCGCCAGTCATTTTAATTTTGAAATCGAGCCAGTGGGGTTCCTCCGACACAAGAGGTAGCCGGGAGACTGAATTCAAAACAGACCGGGAAAGTAATAACCGTGAGACGGAAAGTTGACGTCGCCTGTAAGAGTGTCGATAGCACGATCTTTTCTCGGGCGATTTTTCCGTATATATTCCGTGTTTAACCAGTCTTTAAACTTTCGAAAGACCAATAATGTTCAAACGTCGATGACATTCCAAAACTGACACACGTACGTGCGCTAAAGATATTGCAATGTCGAGAACGTTCTCAACAAACTGTCGTCGTAGCGTTATTTTTGCAGCAATATGATGTCGATCCACTCTTGGGTTATAAAATTCTACAGCAACTTTTCCCATAAAACTCTCCCTGCGTGCACTCTAATGTAATAGCATGCACTACAATATCTGACAATGACATATGCAAAACATTCGCGAAACGTTCACAGATCGCGCGAACGGGACTCTAACGAGTGACGAGCTTCAGCTTTAGCTCCGTAATCGCATTGTTTGCTCCGTTCGCATGTGCTCGCGCGCATGTCTCCTGCTGAAAAAGGGACGAAAGTGTTTTACGGCCACGTCGCGAGTGCATCTGGCGGCGCGGCGCGATCCCGCGGTGCATAAGAACAACGCGCGAAAATGCGATCGTAAACGGGGACGGCCGGCTATGTCCGAGGACTCCCGGTGTATGTTACGCATCTCGCAGACCGGCCGTATGCATGATAATGCGAACGCACGTAACGCCGCACGTTCGTGTGGGATTATACAGCAGCATCGAGTCCGCAAACACACCCTTGGGACACGGAAAACGGTTTACGAGCCTTCAAGCAGTAGATTTCGTGTCCGCACGCGCTTCGTGCATACCCGCGTACGCACGCAAGAGAATAATATTCGTCGGTATATTTTTCCCTTACCGTGTACGCGTGACGTATTTATACGCCCAGAGGATATTATAGTTTTCCTTTTCTTCTTTTATATAAATTCTTTTCAATTTTGTTATGTTGTAGCAAAATATTGTAGCAAAAATTATATTAAAATTTCGTTTCTTCATAATATTAATAATATTTCATAATAATATTTCATATTTATTTCATATTCATATTATAATAATAATATTTCATAATATTTTTTATGAAAAACTGAACTATACCAAAACTGTATTAAAAATTATTATAGTGATAATAAACTTAACGATCTACTTAGATACAAAAAACATTACAGTAAATACAATAGTTGTATGGTATAAAGTGAAATGTATAGCATAATATTTTTCAACATATAGTAATTTCGGTTATAAAACTCTGTACAGTTCCAAGATTATCAAAATTTTGTGATAATTTTTACAACAACATTTTCTCCATGTAGACTGTAATTATTATTATATTTTCTAAGAAGTAAATTTAAAAAAATAAATTTCGCTAAAAATGTAGTAAATTTTTTTAACAGCACTTTCAGTTCATATAATTAAAATGTAAGTAACAAAAAATATGCTATAAAAATGTAAATTTAATACACGTAGAAAATTTTACATCGTATTACATCTTTTTATCAAATACATCACGTACGAAATGAAAGAATTTTTACTGCAGAATATTGATTTGTTTTTCGATTACAAAAAAAGTAATTTTTACTGTAAAATTCTCTCCGCGTATTATCTCACAAGAAAAATATTTATTAAAGCTACTTTTATTCATATTGAACAATTGAGTGCAATAGAGGACCTGAATAATATTAAGTTGCTGTTTTGAAAAATATATGTTCGAATGCAAAGGAATGTTTTTCCCCTCCCCTTTCCCATGAGAAGAATTGGATCAATAACAAAAAAAGTAAAAGACCGAGCGAAGTGTTAGGTTCCTTCGTCCTCTTCGGGGACCTTCGAAAGTTAGAGTGTTTCGGGTCCGCGTTTCACTAATTATACAACTCACATCGAAGTCGACCGTTGTCGGGTCGCAAAAAGGGATAACTAGATTAACGAGGGAATGATGATTATACCATATGTTTCGTGCAAATGATAGGCATCACGCGATTCTGAGAGCGATAAGGCAAAATTTTTCGGTGATTAGTATCATGGATCGAGAACATGCGATTCTTAGATTGATCGTACGTACCTGATATGAGCACCAACACTATCCACATGATCCCCACCAGGCTCTTCATCATGTCATTGTGTCACGTCCACCTCATTTCTTCTCGCCTTCGCGCGCCCCAGACCCTTCAGTTTTCGCGCTGCAATAAAAGGAGAACGGCCTATTATGGAAACGGGTCGTCTTTGTATCGCCGATAAATAATACTTTTTGCACTCGATCAAAGTTTGCGTTATATTTCTTCTAAAACCTGACGAGAGTTGCTTCCGAAGCTATTTATAGGAAACGAACAAGTTTCCCTATGATACTATATTGTCCGGGGTAAAAAGTTTCGGATAAAATTATACTATTTAATAAAATAAAATAATATTTAATAAATTTACACGTGCATATGTACACGGAGAGAATTTTATAATAAGGATCACTATAGAATTTTGTAACCGCATTGAAAAAAATTTTTGATATTTGCAACTATAATTACATAGAGAAATAATTTATGATAAGAGATCTTTCTTATTAAATTTTACTATAACGTTGCTAATAATAACTTTATATGTTAGTATTTTTTATGTTACTATTTTCATGTCGGAACAAACCAAAAATATGGTTAAGACCAAGAATAACTATAGTTTTAGTTAGATTAACTATTTTCTTTCTCTCAATGCGAGGAATAAATCGACGTTCTGCAGCAATTGACGATTTTCCCACTTCATATGGCTATTTATATTTTAGGAACTGAAATGTGTTATTGGAAGATTTGCTGTGTTTCTAGCAAAATTAACTATATTCATTAACAAAATGAACCTTACTGACAATCGATTTCTCTATTTCTTTCTGCACTTTTATAAATATAGTAAAATTGAAAAAAGAATTTGTAAAACTAAAAGTATTATAATTAAAAAAAACTATAACAAAATTAAAAACTAGCATTTTCTTCATGTATGTAAATTCTTTTACGAGTAATAATAATAGACACACGGTTGACAGGGTAAACACAAATATACATTATAATTGATGAAAACACACATGCATTTATTAATACTTTCACGCGTCTTCTATTATGTCTTTCGACACTATACAAATGACGTTATTGCCGTGCGAAGGGATATAAAAAAATCGGAAATATACGATATATTCCAACAGTCCCGTTAACAGGAGCATTGAAATTCAACGAGCCTAATTGCGTTGTTGATCGCGGCCGCAAAGCCGGATTTGTAATTTATTACAACGGCGCAATGGCCGGAGTGAATAAAGCATAGGCAAAGAGCACGAAAGACGTCGGCTCGTGAATTATGGACAGGTAATTGCGGGTTATCGCGAAAACTTACGATCGTTTTTGCGCTCGTGCGCGCGATATATTCGAACGATACCGATTGAAGGCGCGATAAACCGCAGTACTCGCTGACTCGTTGCCAGAGAAGAATGCGCAATTTCTCTCTTTTGTTTTTTTGTTTTTTTTTTTTTTTTGAAAACGGCGCTCCGCAATCGAATACGCGTATTCGAATACGCGAAAATTCGAGTGTCGCCGCGATGCGAATATTCGGGTAATTGATTGCACGCCGGCAAAACGAATAAACAAGGATGAATCTTATGAATTAATTTCGCGTGAATTTCTCATGTGTTTTCGCGTGGAAATATCGCTTTCTTCGGAAATACCTGACGAAGAATCGCGCGTTTCAACGACAGTCGATCTGCACTCGGCGATATTTTCGCCGAAAGACGCCGGTCTAAATTTCTCGTGAAGTCACCATCGCATCGCGGATTGCAACAATGGCACATAATTTTTTTTGTTTGCTTTGCGCGAAATAGATATTTGATTCATGGTTTTTACGAGCGAGCCGGGACTTCACGTGCCGTTATCGGTGCCAATTTTCGTGCCGGAAGATTTATAGCAGTCGTAAGAATCGCATTACGCGATGTCGAACCCCCTCCGCATTTTGATATTTTTGCAGGTGGCACGGCTGTCGCCAATTATCGTCGCGATTTTGAGATCCTAGACTTTTCTGGATACTCCGATAAATCGTCAAAAAGCGCGAATGTTACCACCGAGATCGGCTGCGAAATTTCATGGAGGCGAGAACCCACGGATCGCAAATCGGCCTTACTCGAGATTGTGGAATCTTGTCATTAAATTCCCATTGTAGATTCAAATATGCTATGCATTCTAATAGAGGAAAGACTTATCACATTTTTTTGCTATATTATATAAATTAATACACAAAGAGAATAACACAATTTTTTTTTTTTTATATAAATACTTTTCAACTTTATATTTCTGGTAAGGCAGAAACAGACTGTTAGTAAGGTCTGTCTTGTGTAAAAAAAAATATATTAAATTGCATTAAAAATATAACATATCTTTTAATAGAATATTTCAGTTCTTGAAATATAAGTAAAGCCCACGTGAAATGAAAAGATAGTCAATTACGCTGCGAAAAAAAATATTCGAAAAATAAAAAAATACTTATTTGGTGTATATTAACGACATATTTGCTGAAATCTAAACTCCTTCGTTTAAATAGAATAAACAATTGCTTTCATGAAAAGCCATAATTTTAGGAAAATATTCAAATAAGAGATTGCAATGCATTTTCTCATTTGTGAAAGAAACCCGTCGAATAAATATTTCTTCTTTTCTAGGTATTTCTTTTCACACAATGTACTACAGAATGTACATCTATTCATCGATTACGAAATTTTATGATAATTTTATCATAAAAGTTTATATTGATAATTTTATCAATAGATCAGTTTGGCCAGGAGCTACCTTCCAGCTGCTTCTGCAATCGTCACCCAAACGCTCAAATAACTTGGTTCCGCGGGACAGATATGACCGATGTAAAGGAATATGGCAAGAAGAAGCACCGTAACACGAATTTCCGGCAACATACAAAACAATCAATGAAAGATGTGCGCGTATCTCTTGAATATCCAGCGCGATATTATCAATGCAAGCGCCTTCGTTCGCAATTCCGGGCACATTCAGTGATACACGGTGGCTGATTTTTCACCAGGTTGACTCCTACGTCGTGTCTTATAGAGAGAAATCGCGGCAGAACGTCGCGTCGCATCCGGATGGGAAAGCAACGGCGATATGAGCGTCGCGACGCCGTCGTGCGCGTGCAACGGCGCTCCACTGATTCGCTGTCCGGCGCGCATACCTTTTTCCACTTATCCGCTTATGTAACGCGTCGCAGCAGTCCCTCGTGTATATATGTATCCGTCGGCCGGCTGCGGAAGTGGAGCCGGCCGAAGAGAGAAAAAGAGGGAGAAAGAGAGAGAAAAGAGAGAGAGAGACTCGCGTGTTTTAAATCGCAAAAAAGCCGCGACTATCGGACGTTTATTCACAGAAAAGAGATCTGTCCGCCGACGGAGGAATCCGTTTCCAGAGGACACTGTCGCGGTCTCTGCTATCGCGTATCGATAGTGCCGTTCCGCACGAAGAGGAAACTGCCTGAAGCCCTCTGGGAAAGGAAAACCGACCGCTTCGTGGGAGAGACGCGATCTGTCTGACGGGTTTCGGAGATCCGGAAGTTCATACGAGCAATCGGCCGCAAATCGCAGACAGGCGGGCTTTTCTGGGCGCGAGATGGATGACGGTCGGCCGGCCATGTGAGTGGCAGGTACTTATTATTATCGGTTATTCGGCTCCACTCCGCGAGTGCCAATATTCTGTTATGCGCAAGCCGGCGCGTCAGTCCAGCAGCCGACCGGCAACATCTCGCCGGTCATCTCTCGTCCCTCGCTGCATCCATTATTCGCGCAGCCGGTCAGTCCGAAAGCGCGTTTTTCCACGGATGGCTCCGATTTCACCCGACACTGGTATCGCCGTCATCGCACAGCCAGTTTGAGTACAACAAAGTTGCGTAACGCGTACGGTACATTGGAGATTCCGCATTCCGATTTCTCTCACGCGTAGATTCCCCTCTGGCGAAGTTTGACTTGTTCGACAAATCTCTCTTTAACGGAGCTCGCTCCAGCGAGTTTTATCTCAGCAAATGTTTGAGGTGTACGCGTTTTCTCGGAATTTGCAATAATCGCGTTACTTTTACTTGAGAGTACAGTGCAACGCTTGCTCTTTGCTTGCGACAATCCTGGTTACTCTTCCCCGACCCGAGGGCATCCGCGCTTTAAGTATACTGTTATACCTCTTGGCCCTGCACACCTCAAGTAGCACTTACTGATTTCGCTAGCTCGAGTCTCGGACGGAACATTGCGGCGGGTTAAATACAGACGGCACGAAAACTATCGAAATGAGACTTATTACTTTACAAAGGTAAGAATTTTATCTCGACGGATTAAAAGTTCGCTTAAAATTGAACGAGAAAATGGACGTTTGTTCGTCGCGACGACGATAAACGAAATATCGAAATGGCGAACAAGCGTAATACATAAAGAATCGGCGAATATATATCCGGATTGCGCGTCGCGCCTCGCTCTAGAGAATCGTTTAGCAAACTACACGTTCCCTTCGCTCCCGTCCGAAAGTTATTTCTGCAACGCGGCCCGAGATCGATAAGCCCCAAACCCGTCGCTCGTCCATGCTCGGCACTTTCGCGAACCCGAGAGAGAGAGAGAGAGAGAGAGAGAGAGAGAGAGAGAGAGAGAGAGAGAGA